TTTAATGTGCTATAAAACTATAACTTACATATTTTTAATTTGTATTTCATTATTTAGCTTCAGCATTCCATTTCATTAAGCATAATTTTTGATGCAAATTAAAATTAAAATGTGCAACTCTGAGATTAACGTTCTAGTCATTTGAAGTCAATATTTAACTTTTAATTACGTTCATTTCCCAACTATCAAAAGTCATTAGGTTAAGTTTCAAATGTAATTGTAATCTACAAGAATTACACGAAAATAAATTTATGAATTCTGTATTTATTTATTTTTTATTTATCACTATCTCCAGATATTTAGRTATAATCAAGAAGAAAATGTCTGCTAAATCAAAAAAAAAAWATATATTAATATCAAAATATTGTCTGTAAGTTCAAACATGTTTCATACAAACTTAACTTATGTTTATTATTTATGTAACTTAGTATAACTAGTTAATAATCATTTTTTGAAGCGATTTTATTCATAGGCATCTCGCATCTAACACTTTAAGTCTAATATATTGTATATTCTATTAAATTCATCCTTGTATTTTATCCATGCCATTACACATCTATGCCTTAGTTAAAAACCATAGGTATATGATATACCTATTCATATAATGCGCCAAATTCTTAGAATACAGAATAAATATTTAAACTTCTACTAAACTGTATTCACATCAACTAAATAATAACGATGCAGTTTAATCTTGTTATTTAAAAAGAAATTTTATAATTTTTTAACAGAATATTTTTGTTTTTATATATATTTACAGAACATGTGYATTTTATTTTTTTAATAACTAAAAAAATGATTCAAAATAAAAGTTAGGTTATTGAAGAACATATTTTAAAATATTTCTAAGCCTTTAATGGTTAAAAAAAAAGATAATTGCATCGTTCTCTGTCCTTTAATGTTATAATTTACAACCATGTTCATTTTAATATTTACTCCTTGGCTGAATGTGATTTAGGTGAATGGTATATATTTGTATACTCAGTTTACTCATGATTTATCATTCTTTCGATGTCAAAATTATTTATATTACATTTAAAGNCATCAAATATTTATCATTGTATCAATAAAGATTATAATAATTCTAAAATTGTTTATATAAAACTCTTATAATTCTGTGAAAGCACTTTTATGTCTTTTGTGTCTATTCTGTCTTTTCTAAACTCATTACCATGGTAACATTAATAAAATTGTTGTTTGTTTTATAAAAATATCATTTAATGATCTTTTTGGCCTAGACTCCTAAAAGTATATATAGTTTTTATCAACATATTTTTTTTTTTTAGTTGACAGAGTCATTTGTTGCGTATATTGCATAATGACGCGTATGTAATATCTGACTCGTAGAAACCAGTACTTAGCATAATAATTGCTCATTGTTTGTTGGGTTTTCTTACCTCTAATTGTTTTTGTGTTATTAAGTTTGTGAACTATGAATAATATATGTGTTCAATTGAAATTGACATCTGATGATTTAAAAGTAAAACAAAAATGTTAATAATTGTTTTATATTCGACTCTTTTCGGATGTTGCTATAAAATATTAATGTATTGATTTATTTAACATTAGCTGGTTCTTGAATTACTTTAGTCAATGTAYTGCATTATAATTGCATAGTATACCTTAGTTAATAATATTAGTAAATTTTAATATGTATGTTTTTATAATAATAGAGTTTTTTTTTAAGCATGTAGATAATTGTTACATTTTGTGTTAAATTTTCTAATAATGTACCTATAAAAAAAAATGTTTCTTTAAACTGTACGCATTTGTTCAAATTAAATTAAAACTAATTGTGTTTGTACACGATATTTGAAACATTTTAGGCCGAAATTTCACAATGGATTAGCAGCAAGCATAATATGGGTATGGCGTACAATCGAACTGTTTGGAAACAATTTGTCGATTGTGCAGATACATTCTGCAAGTATGATGATTACAACTGGGACTGGAGTCTTCAAAGTGTATCCAACAATTGTCTTAGCCATGAATTTAAAGTGTTTGTTCTCAAAGCTCCTAGAGTATTTCACATTGGTGAATGGTAAGTGATCATAAAATTAAGATACTCATGTTTAAATATTAATGTGAAACATTTTTCTTGTATAGTGGTGTTCATCATAAAAAAAGTTGTTTCGATATGGCACTCATTGCYAAAGTTCAAAAACTGCTTAGTTCTGTGTACAAATATTTATTTCCGGTAAAATTAGAAGTGACCTATGCTCCAATCAAAAAAAAAGTACTGCGCAAAGGAAATGGTGGATGGGGTGATGTACGTGATCATGAATTATGTTTGCGAATGGTAAACCGCCAATGGTGACATTTGGCAATTAGTATTTAATATTTATAATATTAAAGAAATAGGTCAAGTTCCTATGTAACATGGGAGTATAGACCTCCTAAACGCATAGACATAATACTAAATATTGCAATAGATATTGTTGTCTATGCTTGAACCAAGTCTTATTTTATTTTATTGTTTTTTTTTT